CTGAGGGAATATATTTGATGGGGACATCAAATATTACCCCACTTTCAGACCTGGTTGCGTGACAAAACTTTCCCTATAGAGAAGCAACAAACAAAATTCTACTCACTCTACATAAGGAACCAGTCACAGAAAAAAGCAGATACCACCAAAGTCCAATTTATTGAAACATGAGTTACATTTGCATTCCTTACAGGATTTTAAATCTTCAAAAAATTATTTATTTTAACATTCATTGTGTTTTGTTTGTATGTATGTCTGGGCAAGGGTGTCTGATCCTGTGGAACTAGAGTTACTGAAATTTTGTGGTGCATTTTGGGTGCTGGGCAACGAACCCACCCCCTCTGGAAGAGAGGCTGGTACTCTTAACAGCCCAAGTAAGCTTTTTCCCAGTCTGAGAGAAAGATTTTCTGTGTATTCAGGGCTGGCATGAAAATCACTCTGTAGATAAGCTTGGCCTTGAACTCAGAGGTCTGCCTACCTCCATATCTGCTGTGCTGGGATTAAAAGTTTGCAAGAGTACCTCAATGCCTTCACATGTTACAACTGAGCAAAACTATCAGAGTCTAGTGTATGTCCCATGTTCAGATCATAAAGAGTTGGCTGAAATGGACTCCATATTATTTTGTGTGTGAATGTATGTGGCATTTATTCACGTGGTTAACTCTTTATCTACATTAATAAAAGTGGAAAAAGTCGGCTTAGTTTGAATGGGCAGAAAGTGGGGATGAACTGTGTGAGTGGAAAGAATGTTAATGTTTACATACATCAATGCACATTTAAGTGTTTAGGGACATGTTTTTTGTGTATCTACAGCTGTTCTAGAAAGTGTTATGAAGTCAACGGTTGAAGAGAAAAACAGAGGTTATAGTATTCCCACATTTTGAGTCTTTCAATTAAAACAGAACCTATGCAAAGGGGATTAAAATATAAGGCATAAAATATTTTAGTCAAAAGAGAGTACTTTGCTGTCTATCACAAAAGGACTGATGGAGTAAAGGCATTTATAGGAAAAATAAATCTGCAATTTGACCACTTTCTTAAATTTATGAATCGGCAACATACACAAGACATAAAATGTATCTTTTTGAGGGGAGGCTCAAGACAGGGTTTCTCTGTGGCTTTGGAGGTTGTCCTGGAACTAGCATTTTTAGACCAGGCTGGTCTCAAATTGACAGATACCTCCTGAGTGGTGGAATTAATGGCATTCTCCACCACTGCCCAGCAACAAAATGTAATATTAGAAGTTAAAATAATCAACTTGAACTAGTTGTGTCTGTGAGGCTTAAGGTGAAGTCATGCGATAAAGTTTGAGGCCTGAATGACCATCTCTACACAAACCAGAAATATACCAGTAACCATGACATCCTCATATAAATTAATCTTTGGTGTTTTCTCTCCTCAAGACTGGGGATAGAATCACAGAGCAGTTCTTAGTAAAAATGGAAAGAAGTATATATTCATATAAATTTCTCATCAGCTATCTCTGGGTGAACTCAAAGACACTCTACAGTGTTGTCTTTAACTTTCAGTTGGATAGTTCAGTGATCCAAGTAGATGGGATGACAGGTCTGGGACCCTAGCACTTAAGTAGCTAGGCTTTGTTAACATCAACATTGTATGATTGTTCTTCTCATTTTAACACCTAGATGCACAGGATTCTTGTACATTTTGAGGCAGAGTCTACTGTAACCCAGGCAGACTTTGGAGCTGCTGTGTAGTCACGTCCTGATCCTCCTGTATCCACTTCCAAGACAGTACAGCATGCTGAACCAACCTAGTGTGTAGAGGCTTTAAATGGGCCTAAGTACAGAATGATTTCAAACATCTATTATTTGAACAGAACATTTAGTTGGTGGTGCCTACATGCCATACATGTTTTAAGACTGTAGTTCAAATGAGAAGACTGTATCAGCCTCTAATCTTCCTGGAGATACAACCCTTCAAGAGCACTGAAACATGGGAGAGGGCACATCAAACCCTTATCAATATGCCTGAGTACCAAAGTTTAATTTTCATTGTTCACATAAGAAAATGGAAAAATCAGTTTTCATGTCATTCCTTTTCAACAGAATGTGTGGGCCCATGAAGATCGTGATGAAATACTCAGAGAACAAATCACATGCAACAATATTTTTCTCAAACTGTTTCTTCTTTATCACACCTCTGTCCATTGCCTTGGAGCTGCTATTGGAACCCTCCTGGATTATGGGCTTTGTGTTGAGTCGGCATCCAGGACAGGAGCTGGGTGGCCAGATGATGCAGAAGCTACTGACTGCCATGGCATTGTTTCTGCCCTGTCTGGGGCTTGGCCAGCTTGGCCACACTAAAGGGCTTCAGATAAGAGACATTCGATGGTCTGAACAATGGAGAAGTTGGAATCCAGTTCTACAAAAATGCTTCCACTGAGTGGGGGAGAGCTGACACTACATATGCTCTCTCACAAGGAACAAATGACTTCTGAGTCTGGTGACATAATGGAGGGATGACTTGAGGAAGATTACTGTCACCCAAGTGTGTCTGTAACAAAGAACCCTCACAAGCAGAGGCATGGGAAGGAGAGTCCCTTTGGGACTGGCAGGATATGCATGGGAAACCTGTGGTCCCTTGCATGGCAGTTCTCTGGCCTTCTCCCCCTGCTGTCTCTACTCCAGAGATCTTTTGTTCTTGTGGAGATCTCCTACAGACACAACATTAGATAAACCAGATGCCTTGTCTAGTGAATTTTCCAAGGGATCAGTTGAGGAAGAGGCTAAAATTAATGGTCTCTTTCACATGGAGAAAATGGATTCTGAGCTTAGGGCAATATTCGAAGAACTGAGTATAAGAGGAGCACTGAAAACCCATGTCCTCTCCCACCAAGTTCAGCAGTCACGTTCCTGTGCATCCTGCATGTCCAGTCTATCATACAGGAAAGGCAAGATCTGTTTCTTGCCCAAATGGGTAATCTTGCCATGTAGAAAGCAAACTCCATAATGAGTTTCTTCAGTGCCCATATCCTCTCAGACAGAATTAGTGTGCCAGGAGTACTTGTTTCTCACTGTCATAAAAACCCTAAACTATTTAAATGCCATATATTCTATAGGTCTTTGGAAGGTTTGAAGAATATCTAACCATTTCAAATATATCTCCAGAAAACCTAACTAACCTAAGTGCAATGAAACTCCTGCTTCTAGTGTGTAGCACAGTTTGAGGAGTATTGGAGTTAGCTCTTCTTTAAATTTCTGGTAGAATTCTGCCCTGAAACCATCTGGGCCTGAGCTTTTCTCTTTTTTTGGTTGAGAGACTTTGGATGACTGCTTCTACTTCATGACGGGTTATACGTCTGTTTAGATGGCTTATCTGCTCTTCATTTAATTTTGGTACATAATATCTATCCAGAAAATTGTCCATATACTTTAAATTTTCCAATTTTGTAGAGTACAGGTTTTCAAAGTATGACCTGAAGATTCTCTGGATTTCCTTGGTATCCATTGTTTTATCTCCCTCTTCATTCCTGATTTTGTTGATTTGTATGCTCTCTCTTTGCCTTTTAGTTAGTTTGAATAAAGGTTTGTCTATCTTGTTGAATTTCTCCAAGAACCAACTTTTTGTTACATTGATTCTTTGTATTTTTTCCATGTTTGACTTTAATGGTTTTAGCCTCCAATTTGATTATTTCCTGTTGTCCACTCCACTGGATGAGTTTTCTTCTTGTTGTTCTAGTGCTTTCAGTTGTAATGTTAAATCTCTAGTGTGACTATTCTCCAGTTTCTTCATATGTGCAGTTAGTGCTATGAACTTTCCTCTTAGTACTGCCTTGCATCTATAATACCTGACTGTTTACCCAGCTTTTCTATTTCCACCCATTCTTCCGATTGTGGTTTTTTTGTCTCTATTTCAGTTTTCAATCCTTGCACTGTGTGAAATGTGTCTTGCAATTTTGTCTTTGTCTTCATCCATTTGTTGCATTTTTTGAAATGTTTGGTTTGGTTTTTCTTCCATTTCTTCATTTTTTTGGTTTATTTTTTTCTTCCATTTCTTGCATTCTGGGTCAATGTATCCATTGATCTGAGGGAGCAGAGAAGATCTACAATGTCCAAGATGTTGAGCTGGGTGCTGGTAGGGTCATGCATGAAAAGAGTCACAGTCAGTAGTTGTAAGACTTATCCAGCTCTACTCCATCAACAAGGGGTGACAAAACTGTTTGGTGGGCAATCCTTTCATCCATCACAAAGGAGAGATTGACAAGCAGAACTCTTTGAGATTGAGGCCAACGTGGTGTCTACAGAGAGATTCAGGACAGCCAGGGCTATAAGGAGAAACCATGTGTCAAAAAAAGAAACTAGTAGTGTGGCACGAGCTTTAATCTCACCATTCCAGAGGAAGAGTAATGGACATAAAATTCTTGGATTTTTAGAACAGCCTAGGTTAAAGAAGGAGTTCCAGAACAGTCAGGACTTCTCTGAACAATCTTGTGGTAAAAAAGAAAAAACTAGGGGTGACAACCATCAGAAGGCATAGGATGACCCTTGGCAGCCTGTGGTGAGGAACTTTAACTGAGATGAACATGCTTGATGGAAACCTTGGCTGTAGCAACTGCCTGTATTAAATAAGGGTCTGGGGCTCTAAAAGAATGAAGGAATGTAGGATAGTTGATCTTGTGACACAAAATGACTTTGGAAGCTTCAGATACAATATCTGGTGTTTCATACCAGTCACTAGTATTGGGGTCCCTGGGAACCTGCCCATGTAATAATAAGTCTCCAGATGATAAGGGGGCTCCCTAGTGAAGAAGTGAAGAAGAGTAACTAGGACAGCCATGCATGCTCACAGGACGTCACAGGTCCACCTTCCACAACTGTCCCAAGCTGCGTCAAACATTGAGGAATCACCAAGCTTGGGACATTCTGGTGAATGTACAGGTTGCATTGCACCTTGGCTGTGGGTAAAAAAGGGACAAGTGAGAGACATACCCGAATCTCATATTCAGTGACACCAATCTTTAGGGCCAGCTCCATGCGTTACTCCAAACTTGGGTGCTTGCAATGTTCAAAATGTTCTTGAAGGATACCTTTTTGTTCCTTAGTGTACACAGTGCGCTCTTTCCGTTGCCTCCTTGGAGCTTCAGGGCAAATTTGCTGGAAACCATATGCATTTGAAGGAAACTTACTGGCTTGGGAAACCTCAGGGCTAAAACCTACTGCTGAGGTTGAAGGCATCTGGTGATTACAAGGATCTGATCCAGTTGACAGTATTGGGTGACCAGCATGCACTGTGGGATCAGGTTCTAGTGGTGGTTGTAGGCTCACTGTAGGACATTGGCTCCTTTCAGGAGCTGAGTGCAATTGGAGACTTGATTGCTTTACTGTTTCAGGTGGATGTAGGAGACTTGTAGTCCTTAGAAGACTCACATTAGTAACAGAAGTTTGAAGCTTTGATTGCTCAGAACTCTCATACAATGTATCTGCACTGGCATAGGTGACAAGTGGGATACCACATTGAGGAGAGGTGAGCCTGTTGTGACAGTCATAGCCTGGGTTCCCAGGAAGTTTTCCAGTCTTCTTCTGATTAGACCTAGCTCGTCTGTTCTTGAACCAGATCTGGAGAGAGGATGGAGAGGGGAGATTAGCAGAAGTCAGGTGCATGATTTAGGTCCAAAATCTGAAAGTGCTGGTGGAAATGTCTGCACCATGGTCTATACCCAGCACCTGTAATAGATCTCTATGCATCCTAGACCCAAGAAACAGGAAGACAGTATGACCTGGACCAGAAACAGACAAAATTATGGAGCTTCTACTCAAAGATGGGAGTTTAGAGAGGAACCTGGTTGTCTAGGCAACTAAAACAGTGAGGTCGGCCCAGGCGTTGGTGGCACAAGCCTTTAACCCCAGCACTCGGGAGGCAGAGGCAGGCAGATCTCTGTGAGTTCGAGGCTCGCCTGGTCTACAGAGCGAGTTCCAGGACAGTCTCCAAAACAACACAGGGAAACCCTGTCTAGAAAAACAAGCAAAATGTGAGGCCAACTTTCTTCCTCTTCATCCCAACAGGGCTCTACACTAAATGACTAATGGGCATTCCATCCAACCTTAGATACATCAACATTATGCTTGCAAAACCTTTTACTGGGCCAAGTAACCCCAATCCTGGAGGAGCTCATGAAGTTCAGAAGTTAAGGGCCTTTGCAGAAGGCTCCTGGGGAATAGGTTATATGACTAGAAGACCAGGAGACCCAAGATAGTCCATACCTTGATATGATACTCATTTATGCCAAATCTTTGAGCCAGGGTCATGCATTGTTTCTTGTCCGGGTACATACACTTATTAAACTGTTCTTGAAGGACCGGCTTTTGTTCCTCTGTAAATATGTTGTGCTTCCTCTGCCTCCTTGGATCATAGGAGGAGACTTGTGTCATTGAATGATCTTGAGAAGTCAGGATGCCGCCTTGTCCACATGGTGGACAAGAATCACTTGCCACAACTTGGGTAACTGGGTACACTGGATATCTAGAGGCGTTGTCACTTGGAAGTATAATGGGGCTTCCAATCACATTTAGACCAGATGGAATTGGGAAATGCTGCAGAACTTGAGATCCTGGAATCATATGCGAATTTGGTTCCATTTTGAGACTTTGGTAGTCAGGAAAATCTGGGAATAACAACAGAAGTACATAAGAGAAACACCAGAGTCTGTAGGTCCTACACGCATGGCTCCCTATCATTTCCTGCAGGTCTGATCCAGCATCATATTCAGGTCAGGTGTGTCACTGGACAGCAGTGCACAAAAAGCACGGTAGGTGGGACAGTATCCAGGGGTCTCCCCAGCACTCCTGCTTAACCTGCCCCAGTCTCTGCCCTCATCTTGTGTCTCAGTGCTGCCTCTTGAAGGTCACCATGCAAACAGCCCCTGAATTTTCACAGGACCTTCTGTCCATCAAGCTGGGAATAGGGTGAATGTAAAACTCCAAACAAGCATCAATCTCCTGAGTGTTATCAACACTGTTTTTCTTTTGATTTCCTCTTCTCCACATCAGACAGCCCCCTCAACCTACCTATCCTACATGCTCTTCCTTGTGACATCACCCCCAGGAAATCAGTAGGTGGTTTCACCTTGTTCAGAATCCACTCTGTGTTTGACTCTTACTCCAGGGACCAGTGCTTCAATACCTTCCTTAAAACCAAAAGCTCCCCACATTCTTTGGCTCCTCCCTCTCCACTTATCTTCAAATCCAATATCCACACCCAACCTTTGTGGCCAATGGGTTTCAGTCACACCGCTGAGAGTCCTTACTGATTAAATCATAATTGTTTTCCTATGTTTGTTTTTGATGCAGGATTCCTCCATTAACCTAGGATAATCAGGAATTCATAATGGTGAACAGGCCTTCCTTATACTCAAAGAGATTACCATGCCTCACTCTCCCGAGTGCTAGCATAAAATATGTGGGGAAACTGAATCCCAAAGGGTTTAATCATTGTTTGCAAATGAATATGGAGTCACAGCTTTGTGTGTGAAACTGCACCTGAGAATATAGGCCTGGACCACTTAGTGCTACACTTTAGAGGAAATTTCATCTTGAAATGCTGATCAGTGCTGTGGCCTTATAATTAAAACCAATGCATTAAATGGGTCTCGAGTTTGGGACGTTGTTTGCTTCTATACTCCATGGTTGTTCAATAGGGCAGTTTGGTCCTGGCAATGGAGAAAATGATCAGAAGAGGAGAGTCGGCCAGCATTAACTATTTAGTAGCTCCAAATCCTGCCTGGACTAAAGTTGAACCTGGCTCAAAGGGAAAACAAGCAATCCAGCAACGACAGAAACACGGTCCTCATATGTCTCTATGAGTAACTGTATGGGAAACAAAACTAGATTTATTTTTATTTTACTCTATTTACTTATTTACCTTTATTATTCTCTTAAGATCTGATTGGAAACGCACACTTAATGATATGTGGCCTCTAGTCATCATTGGCTGAATGTACCCCATATCGTTCCATTTGGAGGCCTTTAAAAGGAATTGCCAGATCCTTGAAACATGACAGAACTAACCCATTTCACATCTCTACAAACAAGTTGGTTTAGTAGGTCCTAATTGCCTCAGATGTGCAGAAAAGATGATCAGGTGTTTTTTAATCTAGCCTTGAATAGAGAGAAGCCCTGTAGAATGCATTGCTTCCACATAACCCTGTCTCAAAATGAAAAACAACAACAAATACAGACACAGACATACACAAACGGAATGCCTTTTTCCCAACTATACTTGACCTGATGGGACCTATAGTAGGCCATGTTTATTATGTGAGGTGTTTAGCACTCTAAAGAAACCACGAAAACTCATGGTTCATCAAATTGGACTTAAGTCAAACATTTACTTTGTTCATTCATCTGTGTACTATCTCAGGAAAGTAGACAGGAGTTCAAGAAACAGTTTTGTAATACAACATGGTCTGAAAGATGAGGAATATTTTAATATAGAATGGAATTTTTCAAATGAAATGTAAGAACAAGCAATGTTAACAGGGTGTGGTGACACACACACCTTTAATCCCACCACTAGGCAGGCAGAGGCAGGAGGATCTCTGGTTTGGACCGCTGCCTATTAAACAATGAGAGTTACAGAACAGCCAGAAATACACTGAGAAATATTACCTTATAACACAAAGAATAAAATCAATTACAAAATTAAACTTGCTATGTGTGGTGGTACACGACATTTTTCCATTCATTCAGGAGGCAGAGGCAGGAGGATACCTCTGAGATTGTCAACAACCTGATCTACACAGAGATGTCCAGGACAGACAGGCATGTAACAAGTGGCCTATCCTTGAAACTCAGAGAAACAAAGAAACAAAGTCCTTCAACATCTACAGCCATCAGATCAATGCAAAATTAAAATTACTTTGGGTTTTTTTAACTACACAGAAATGCTGAAAAAAAGATAATCAACAACAGCTCATGCTGGTGTTGATGTGGGGAGAAATGATCCCTGATGGACTGCTTTTGGGAGCAGAAAATGATACAGCCTTTCTGACCCCTGTCCCATCATCATAGAAGCTTTATTGGGCACTTACCCTGATACTAGCAGGAACTACCACTTCACCAGATCGCTGCTACTGTCTGAAACGCTAGTGCAAATACCTGGCCTTCAAAACAGTTTCCATTCAGGCCCCTCCCATGTTCTCCATTTTGTCCCATCATTCCATTAGACCCTCCCACTCAATGGCCCCGCCAAGTCTATATCTTCACTGTATTGGGTCCTGGTATATTTGAGGATGGCTTTCATCATAGAGCAGATATGATCAGTGCTGCTTTTGTGGGGACCTAAAGTACAAACACATGTTTTGCAACCCCCTCTTAGTTCTCCCCTCTTGGGGTTTGAGCCCAGTTAGAATGTGGCCTTTACTACCTGGTGACCAACTCAGTAAAATGGTCTCAACTCAGGCTGCCAATAGTAGCCCTATGTGTTCTGATTGTTGTCTACCCTCCTTTTTCCTAAATTGAGACGGGGTTTATCTGTGTAACCCTGGTTTTTCTGGACCTTGCTCTGTAAAACTGGCTCTCCTCAAAATCAAAATTTGCTTGTTCATCCCTCTGCCTCTGGAATGGGGAGATGAAAGGTGTGTGCCACAATACCAGATTCCTTCTTTTTTTGACACGGTTTCTCCTTGTAGCCCTGGCTGTCCTGTATCTCACTGTTACTCCTGTTGGCCTCAACATCATAGAGATCTGCTTGCCTCTGACTCCTTTGGGTTTGAAGGAAAGGATTACCCGTCAAACACTTTGGTCACCCATTATAGATAGATTAGTGCTGGCTAAGTCATACAACAGTCTGGCTGTGACTCTTTTCATTCATGTTGCTACCATCCCCAAGCTCAACTTCATGGGCAATGTAGATCCTCCCTCTGATCCCCCAGGGGCATGGATTTGCCAACGACTCATTTCTCAGAATTCTCTGTACACTGTCTTCAAGGCACAGGCCTGATGCTGGCTTCTGTGCTTGCAGATTGGCCGTTCAATGAATGGCTGTAGTACACAGCAAGTGATGCATTTTTGTGAGAGATTGAAGTGATTTCAGTGCATCTATGGAATCCCTCAGCTTGTGTCCCAGGTGTTTTCACACTTCCCCTGTGGCGATATCACAGGTACATGTGACCATTGACTTGTTTTGTAACGTGTAAGGGGAGAACTCAGTTTAATTGGTCAACTCCCAGGAAATTTTCTTGATATTCACAGAGGATTAAATTGAACTACAAGATTGAAATTACAAGATTATCAATGCAGTGCTTGGTGAGGCAGTGACAGAACTCTTTTCCAGGTTTGTGGGAAATCCTGCTATAAATTCACAATACTAAGTGAAATTTAAATAGAAGATAAATATATATTTATGACATACTTTATTGTAATCAAATCATTTTGAAAAGACAAGCATCCAGGGTGAGATGTCACATACCTTTATTCCCAGGATGTGGGAAGCAGAGGCAGGGATTCTCCGTGAGGGTGAGGGCAATATCAACGACAGGGCAATTCCCGATGGCCATGATTACACAGACAGTTTATGCGTGTGTGTGTGTGTGTGTGTGTGTGTGTGTGTTTGTTTGTTTGTTTATATATTTTGTTTGTGTATGTGTTCTGAAGGTACTGAATTTAGGCTCCACATGTTGCCATTACCCTCTCATCATGAAGGACTGATAAAACAGGTTTGGTTCACACATTTGGTGACAAATTCTTTCCTAGAAATGTCATCTCACAGAATGTTATTACTTAGCCCTGGCTATACTGGAACTCACTTTCCAAACCAACTTGTTCTAAACCTCACAGCTCCTCTTCCCTCTGCCTCCCAAGTAACTCCATTAGTGGAATGCCAAGATTCTTTTTGTTGGGCATTGGGATTTAAGACCAGTATGACTTGGATAGTAACTTGCTTGGAGACAAATTCTGGTATTAAAGCCATGAGCACACAGCTTAAGAAATTTAAGAACACCCCACGTTGAATATTTTTCATTTTTAATTCTTCTCTCATCTGCATCTTTACTGCAGCTGCCCCTCCCTCCTCCCCTCCTTGTAATTTCTCCCCACCTGTCCTCTGTTTCTGATCCTCTCCTCCTCTATTTACATGCAGAAAAATAGCTGGCCTCCCAGTGACAACAACCATACTTGCCATTATAAATTCCATCAGTATAAACATCTAAGGTGACAAGACATCAGCCCATCCAGGCCCCAAACTCCGGAGATCCCAGCTAACTAGGTGAACTTGGGTCTCCGAGGGGATTCTCCCATCCTCCCCCTGACCCCCATCTGCTCGATCTTCTGGTCCCTCCTGGCATCCAGAAGACCCGCCCACACAGGAAAGACATCAGCCCTTCCAGGCCTCAATCTCAGGCAATCCCTGTAAAGGGAAGGTTTTCCTTGCTAGCTGCTTTGGTTTATCACCCGCCAGTCACCTGGGCTCTGCTGCGTTGTAGTCCCCAAATAACACACAGGATGCTTTATTAATTATGAAGCTGTTGGCCTTGCTTGTTTCTTATTGGCTAGCTCTGACTTAAGTAATTACCCCATAATTGTTAATCTAAGTATTTATCTTACCAGAGAATAGTTCCGGGCTTCCTACTCCATGGCGGTTACATCTCGAACTCCTCTGTTTCTCCTTCCCAGAATGCTCCTGGACTGCTATTCCCATCTATCTAGATTCCTATAGGCTCAA